GCCAAGGGGCTGGATTTTGTACGGGCTGCTCAGGCCCCAGGGCGTGCTCTGAGCTCTGCCTGTTTTTGGTCTTCCAGTCCGCAGCCGCCACAGCCCCAGGTCCCCGAGACTCCCTGGGCAGATGAGGGCGGCTCCGTTTATCACCTGACCGACGAAGACTTTGACCAGTTTCTGAAGGAGCACTCCTCTGTCCTCGTCATGTTCCACGCCCCATGTGAGTGGAGCCTTGCTCCTCCCCACCATCTCCTTCCCCCCTCAGCGTAGGAGGCGCTGCTCTGGGAGGCGAGTCCACTGAGCGCCTGCTTATCGGATGCCTCCTGGGTGCCGGGGGTGCTCTGGTGCCAGGCGAGGTCCCTGCCTTCACGGTGCACGCAGCCCACCTGCATCCCCCAAGTCCCAGTCGGGCTGCACGTGCCCCTCAGCTCCACCTGGCAGACCCGAACCACTTCCTCCAAGTCAGCGTGAATCAAGAAATGCAAGTGGATTTCCCAGAACTGGAGGAATTAGGACCGGAAGCGCCATTAGATAGTGCCTAGAACAGTAATCACCCCTCATCTTACAGGTGGGGAAACTGAGGCCTCGAGAGGGCCGTATGTTGCCCAGCACCTGGGAGGGCACAGTGAGGCCGGGGCTAGAGCCTCAGACCCCCGAGCATCTAGAATGCCTTCCTTCTGCTTCACTGGGGCCAGTCACAGCCTGAAGCAGCCAGAGGGGATCAAGGAAGGAAATTGCCCCTGCCCCCAACCCAACTCACCCGTGAGCATAGAATAGAGTAAGGGCTTAACAAATGAGAACATGAACAAATGAAGTTGTAAAATGTGTTTGCAATATGGACGGAAGGCCTATAGCACAGGATTTTCCTAGGCCAGTGTCCTCCCCATGCCCATGAAAAATGGAGATTGGTTGTGATTCATTTCCAAGAGGGAGAAGGCTGCTCTTGTAAAGTGAGCAAGGATGGTGTGAGAGCAAGGGATGACAGCCTGGGGCACAGAGCTCCTGGGAGTAGTACTGGGAGAGGGTGGGCCCATCCCGATGGGTGAAGAAGGTAGGTCGTTGGCACCCTAGGACACAGGGTGTATATGTGGTGGGTGCTCTTCTTTTGTAGCTTCTCACCAGTTCTTTGGCCTAATGATAGAGAAGAAGAGATTGTGGAGGAGAAAAATAAAACAAAAAATAACTGCCAATAAGTGTCATAATTGTCTGGTCCATATTCAGTGACAATATATTATTATCGTCTCAGTTATAGGAATCCTCATGGTAACAGTGGGCTTCATTCTATGGTGATAAAGTGGCTTCCTGCAGGGTCAGCTCCTTTTATCTTATCCACAGTGAATATGATTAACCCCATTTTACAGATGTGGAGACTGACACACAAAGAAGTGACACATTGTTCCCTGCTCTGTGAGTCCTGTACTGCTGACCCCTGATGGGTGTGGTTATGTGGGAATTTTTCATACATGGATTACTACTGGGGATTTCCCCAACTCCTTTTTTCTTATGTGTCAAATTCTTCAGAGAATCCAAAGGACAAGTATTCCCTTTGGCCCTTTTCCTTCTTGATTTCTAAAAAATTGACACATGCAAAAAACCAAAAAAAAAACCTTTGTTTCAAAAAGTCTCCTGATTAATGGCCTTAGGAGCAGGTCACCCCCAGCCCTGCCGGGGCCTCCGTGAGTGTGTCCCTGTAGCTGGGGGCTAGAGCTGAAATTATCCTGCCTGCATCCCTGTCCCTGCAGTAAAGGAAGAAGCAAGCTGGCCGTGTTCAGTCCCCCTGGGAATTTCTGACCTGCGTCAGGTTTGGGCAATGGTTTGTGAATTATGCATCACAGAGTAAAGAGTAGGTGTCCCCTTCTATGAGTCCTGCAAATTATCCAAAAATATGTACCAGATACATTAGAAGCACTTTGTTTTTAATAACCCTGGTTGCAAACTAGATCTGTTTTGTCTGTTGTTTTTTTGTAGTCATAGGTTGTGAGGGATCCATTGTAGTAGCTGATGCTTATAGGGTCTTGGGGCCAGGAGTCTGACTGTAGGGCCCCTCCCCTTCCCTCCCCCTTGTTAAGCGTTCTGTTCCCGTCCTGAACCGGAAGGACATCACTCATTGCCCCTGCCCCTGACCCAAGTCACCCATGGGCACAGAATAGAGTCAGGGCTTAAGGAATGAGAAAACGAACAAACGAAGTTGTTCTGGAGCTAAATTAGAAATCAGAGTGAGAACTAGAAACCAGATGGCAGCTTTTGTTTTCCCCATTCATCATTACTAATGAATATTACCACGAATACGCTGCTCTGTGCAGAGCCCCGCTGAGGGGCCCTGATTTCAGACTTAGCAAATGGAGCTGTCGGAGGCTCCTCTTGGAGGGTGTCTGCCAGCTGGGGACCCTGCATTCCCCCATGAGTGTCTGTCAGCACCTGACTCTGCACGTGTGTGCGGGTGGGGGGGTAGGGCAGGGGGCTGGCAGAGTGAGAGGGCTCAGGGCTAAAACAGGAGGTGAAGCTTCTTAATGAACCGCTTGTCTAAGTTCACATCAGATGGGAGTGGCTCTGCATCAGATAATCTCTCTACACGGTCCTCCTTCCCTGCCTAGGAGCACGGCCTGCAGCCTGGGTTGAGATGGAGTACATGTGGTTTAGAGAACATGGCGACCAGGGGCAAACTGAGAGCAGAGAGCTCCTGGCGGCCCAGCTGTGTATCATGCCAGCTGCTCCAGTGATCAGGGGTCCATTTTGGGGTGTTTGAGGAACCCAGAGAAAAGCACAAATGCCGGGAGGCCAGAGATTGGTGTCCCAAGTACAGAAAAGGTGAATTATGGGAATCACAATATTGCAGGTGTCAGTCCCCGGCCAAAGAGGGATTGGTTTAGAGACAGACCGTTTGGAGACTTGGAAAAACAAGGTAGGCTCTGCCGACATAGAAGACCATAGAGTCTAGAGGGGTTGCCAGGTGTCCTTGGTTTGTTTCTAGGTGGGTGAGTTAGCACGTCCTCCTTTGCACCAAGATTTTAAAGGATCCCAACGGACTGCAGTAATGGGGCTGACACCAAAAAGCTGTATTAATTTTTATGGCGCTTTTTGCTAACTACAAAGGAATGCATGTATGTGTCAGCAAGCGTTAGCATAGGAAAGTACAGAAGGAAAATGAACATTGCTCCTGACAGCGACGCCAGGCAGAGCCATGGTCTCTCTCTGCTGGGCTGTTTCCATGGAGAGTAAGTGCCCCGCGTGTCCTTTCCTGGTCCAGCTTCGAAAGGCCGGGAGAGACGAAGTCTTCATCTTCCTCCTGACCTGTGCCTTCCCCAGGCGGAAGCTCCCCGCACCTGTGGGTGCCAGGGCAAGTCACTGGGCTCTCTGCCTGAGCCTGTGTGTGCCCGCTGAGCTGTACTCCTAGGTTCTTGGCAGGACAGGCACGGCTGTGGCTGTTGTAATGATCAAACATTCCACTGGCCCTGCTTCTTCAACCTCTCTCCTAGATCTCCTGCCCCTTACTCCCCCTCCGCTTCTCCTCACCCCCTTGCCTGCCTTCTGCTCTCTCCCAGCTGCAGTGGTGGAAACCCCACAGATTCTTCTGCAGCCTCACATTTGACGTCCGAGTTGTCACTGAGTGAATGAGCATAGGCTGGGCCACAGTGCCAGGCCCTCCACAGTTAGCTCCAGTCCTGCCCAGGTCACAGGGGGAAGCAGGGAAACTGAAATTTAAAGCGGGTTTGCCCCATGGACCCTGCCCTCCAGGAGCAGCCAGGCCTCCAGGAAGGATAGTCTGAGTGGGCAGTGGGCTCCCAGAGGGGCCTGTGCACCAGGAAGTGTGAGGCCTGAGCCTGGGCCCCAGCCTTGGGGGCGGGGGGCGCCTCTCCCCCTGCTCAGCACTTCCTCCTTTGTCATCCATCTGTGGGGGGCGGGGGAGGGGCTGCAACCCCCGGCCCAGCTCTCTCATCCCACAGAGGACAAAGATAGTGTCTGGAAGGGGCGTGGCAGCAGGACATTGACTGCCCCTCCTGGGCGCCTTTCATTCCTTTCTGCAGCTTCCTGAGGAGAAATCAGATTATATGTTGTCACTCTTCTGTTCTTGTCCCTTCTGTTTTACTGCAATAACCTCCACCTGCTCCTCCCTCTCCCTGTAAGTCCAGCCCTGTCTTAGGCCGAGGAAGGGTTCGATGCTGTGATAACACTGCCCTAATGAGCGAATGAGCGGCCCATGTGTAGGGACAAAGTGAGACTTCCCAGGGAGGGCGTCACTGGGGAGCGGCTTGTCTCCCTTGTGGGTGCTGAGAGGCAAGCAGGGACCCCAAGAAAGAAGCTGCTGGGGAACCAGAGCCCTCCCTTGCCGCCCCGTCCCCAGGACTGTGGGGGCCAACCAGCAGCTTTGCCCGGGTCCCCCCCCCTGCCCCCCCGCTTTCCTTGGCAACAGGCCCCATGAGATGTTCTCGTTGCCACAACCCACCACCAGCAGGTGTGTGCTGTGCCCGCCCGGCCTGCCCTCCAGGAGCTGGCAGTCCATTGGTCCCTGTCCGAATCCAGACTTTGTTTCTTTATTTCAATCTTGTTCTCAAAGTAATATGGGATCTTTGTAGAAAATCTAGAAGGCACAGAGAAATATAAATGACTAAGGTAAAAAAAAAAAAAACAACAAACCTGTGATCCCATGATTCAGAGGAAACTGCATTTCTCCTTTTGGCATCATTCTTGCTAGTTTCTTTTATTTTTCTCTTGTCTTTAACTTTTATTTATTATATTTACATACAGTTAAATTGACTTTTCTGGCACCTGTAGAGCTTTGTATAACTATCATGCCATAAAATCCTTCATGCGATCACTTTTATTTTTTTAATTGCACAAATAGTTTAAGCATAATATTAATGATGTTTGCATGACTGGCAGTGCAAGGTTCAGGGGATACATTAGAACATAGTGCGCCCCACCCCATCTTCCTTCCCGGGGCTGAGTGCTGTGAATGGTTGCTATATCCTTTTCCTTCTGTGCTTCTACCTAAATAGCGGGTCTTATTTTTTATGTAAATAGGGTCATTCCCTGTCCATTTTTCTGTGATTTGCTTTTTTTTCACTCACCAGCAGGTCTCAGAGATTTTCCCATGTAACCATAGGTGTGGGCATATAAATCTCTCTCAATCCGTTTAACCACTGAATAGCGTTTTATAACTTAGAGATGCCGTAAATTGCAAACTATCCCCCTGATGACAGACGGTTGTCTCCAGCCTTTCACTGTTCAAGCATTGCAATGAACAAGTGTAAACATATGTATTCGGAAATATGACTAAATATTTATGACTGATTCTTGAAATTTGTGACGTTGCTGGGCCATGAGCTTTGATACCAGTAGATCGTGCCACCTCGCCCTCCAGAAAGGTGTCACACCCCTGACCGTGTGTGACAGAGCCTGCACCTTTGCCAGCATGGATGCTGTCGGCCTTTTCTAGTCCTGCCAACCTGGGCAAAAGGGCCACTGGCCTGCAGCTCCCTGGACTCCAGGGAAGTCGGGCCTCTTTTCTTGTGATTATCAGCTTCCCTCACTTCTCCTGCCAGCCACCTGTTCATACCCTTTGCCCATTTTTCTACTGGATAGTTTGTTTTTCTTCTTGACCTAGAACTCTATGGTTATGGCTATTAATCTTTATTTGTTATCCATGTTGCAGGTGTTCTCTGCTAGTCTGTTGCTTGCTTTAACGTTCTTTAGGGTGTGCCTTTCATTGTACAAAAGTTCTATTATTTTTAGTCGTTAAATAATAGCTAGACTTTTTTTGAGCGCTTACTGTATGAATCAGGCATTGTTCTAAGCACTTTCCACATATTAACTCATTTCACCTTCATATCAAAACCTGTGACTATATCAAGATTATCCCCATTTTACAGGTTAGGGAGGGGAGGCACCAGAAGGTTGAGGAACTCACCAAAGGCCATGTAGCCAAAAGAGGGGAGCGGGGATTAAAAACCCTGGCAGCGCGAGAGGCCACAGTCTCAGCACTGAGCCTTCCATAGCCTGCTTTTCCCATCCCGACCTCTGGGATTCCTGGGCTGCTTGGGAAATCTACCCCTAAGATACAAAAATAGCACCCTGTATTTTGTTAAAATATTTTTGCTTTTATATTTTGTTCTTTAATTCATCTGGATTTTTCATTGCTTGCTGGACCAAGTGGAAAGAAGGGATTTCATTTTACTTCTTTAAGTCCCTTTTCCTGTGCATATCTTTTTTTCCCCTTCACATTATCTTATACGTACTTTCTTAATGTTATTTAAAAATGCTTTTTTGTATGTGCTTTTTGAGGTCACATACTATTCCATTGTGTAATGGCACCATAAATTATTTAACCAGCGTCATTATGTTGAAGGTTGGAGTTGTTTACCGTATTTCCCCATTGTAAATCATGCTACACAGAGCATTTTTATCATCAATATTTGTCCACGTGTCAGATTATTTCCTTAGGATAGAAGCCTGGAAGAAAACACTTAAGCGCTTGTTATCTATGTTTTGCACTAACATAAAGGAGGGAAAAAACCCTAACTCCTTCCTTGCACAAGAAGAGGGCCATGTGATTGATGGAAGCATCCATCAGTGCGGGGTTTGCCCCAGAGTGTCTGTGAGTGTGCACAAGTCAGCTTTGGTGTGTGTACAGCTGGAAGCCTCAAAAAAGCTCTCAGGTGTCTGGCTGCTGGGGGCTGGGCGGGGAGGGGGAGCAGGGACAACATTCACGGTGTTAAGACATCAATGTTTCTGCTCCCATAGAC